CCTTTCCTCTTCTTGTTCGTTTTCACAGAGTAGATTTCGTCTCCTTTGTTCCGCTTTCAAGCATCTGCTGATGAAAGACAAAAAGCCGGTAAACTAGTTGGATCTTCCGCCGGATATGATGAAAAGAACAAGGGTGTGTGATTCGAGTGGTCTAAACCCCAACGCCGATATAATGTATGAGATTCTTCTCAGATTACCACTTAAAACGATCTGTGTCAAAGACATCGCTTATGATTACATCAGATCATGTCTTCCGCAAAACTTACCAAACCAAATTAATGGAAAACAAGCTTTTGTCTCATAGGTTTCTTCATGTGGAACTCAGGGGATTGCACCATCAATTCCAGTCGATTTACATCGCTGCTCTCAACAAATCCGATTAACATTGTAGATTTGGTAAAGAAGAAAGGATATTATATTGATTCTTCAAATGGTTGTCTTCTCTATGGCCGTCAACCGAGATCTTACTACTTTTGGAAAACACGGATGACCACCAAGGTTCCACAACCTCCAGATTTGTATGGCTTTGATCACTCAGGGTTCTCTGATGGTTTAAGCTACAAGGTTCATATAGAGATGAAAGCACAAAGGTGAATTTAATGACATTTTCCTCTACAACCAATATGTGGAGCCATTCCGAGCTCACTTGTCCCGAAGTTATATCTCTCAGCGCGAGGACTCTAGGGAGAGTAATTGATGGCATCATTTAATGGCATGCTGTTGGAGGTAAATTGCCTATATATGACACAAAAGAAGAGCTGAAACAGATCAAAGTGATAAAGCTTCCCAAAACATTCGACTTTGATGTAGCGAATCCGATGATGGGTGTTTACAATACGGATGTAGTAGTAAATCAAGAATGCAAGTATGGAAGCTTGAGAAAGTAACACTCCAATGGAACTGGAGCTTTGGCGAAACAATCCAGATCAAGTTACAAAGTTCAAACAACCGACTTCGCAAACGCTGTTGCTCGGGTTTGCCCATCAGAAATCAGACGCGGTTTACATAGGTCATCACCCATATATTTACATCTGTGACTTTAATACAAAAGTAGTTGAAGCAATTTGCTACACAGGAAAAGCATCTTCGCCTTGGGAGATTTGCACATATGCGTGTGTGGCCTTCTTCAAATTCACTAAGGAGGTAATTTTGTTCGATTCTCATGTGTCTTTTTTACTCTTTTGTCATAGTGTGATGAATCAACCAAGTCCAACTATCCATGTGCCAAAATGTGCAAAAGTTTTAATAGTATGTAGTTATAGAAATAGGCATCAGTAGACGAGAAAAAAGCGATTAACTCATCTCAGCACTATACCAAAGGGTTTTTTGGTGCTCCATAGGTATCTTCTGATGCTCCTGTGTAACTAAATTGACCAAATATGCACATCCAAATACATTGACAGCCCTGCGCGAGAAAAACGTTGCAAACAGATAGGTAATCGGAATGGAGAAAACTATGATTTTAATGCAGCGATCAGCCAGGGAAAAAAAAAGCATTGGTAAAGGATTTTAGTCACCAAGCCACGCCAATAAACAACTGATGTCAGTCATGAAACGGAGACGCAAAAGGTAGAGTCAAGGATTAACAACACTGGCTAACACTTCATACAATCACTGACGATCAACGAAAGAGGATACAATAGAGAAAAGGATAAACCCAATATGGGACCAGCTGTGCTTCTCCATGGCAATATCAAATCCCATGTATATGAAACTAGAAAAGCATTAATCAAATCAATATCAATCCAACAGTTTTTTAAGCGTATAAACTATTATCTAAAACATGGGATGCTCTAGATGGGACTTGCGTGAAAGTTTCTGCCAGCGAGGATATCAAGTGAAAAAAAGCAGATACAAAACTCTGCGAAGCTTCTGAGAGATTGAGAAAGTGTAGCTCTTCATAACCTACACTAGCACTGTATTAGGTTGCCTGAATATGTCTTGCCAGATATTAGCATCAACTAAGATGTAAACACTACAACGAGTTGGCTATTACAATTCCTGTGAAGAGTATAGACACAATACCAGAGAGACCAACACCTTCTGCAAGCATGTATCTGACAGCATAAGCAAAATACATTAGGGGGAAGAAGTGTGCTAGTAAATACGAAGAGACAGGACGAGGGGAGTGGTTTTATCTGCTTAAGAAAAATATGGGCAAAGAGACAATACTCCAAGTTCTGAAGACTGAGGTAGAGAAAAGAAAAATCAGATACATAACAAGATGCTTACAGAGTATTAACTATACAAATACATAGACATTTCATACTTAAAGTGCCTTCAATACATAGACATTTAGTTGATTGTTTCACTAAAAGTGCCTTTAGTTGAGTACAAGGAACATTTAAGAGTTGATGAGCCTAATATGTTATAAAACTGTGAAGAATGGTCAGAACGGAGTCAGAGCAGGCATACCTGCAGACATAGAGCCAGCAAAAGTCTCAAGAAACCTGACCACCACCATGAGAAAACTTTCCCCAGAGGAGGACTGGCGGTTTACTAAGGACATTGTTCATTTGTTCTGCATATAAATTTTTCTATTGTACTTTTAACACTTCGCTTAAAAGGTATATAAAAGGGAAAAAAAATGATATGTGGTTTACAAACCTGTATAATGATATTGCCATCTAGGAGCCACACCAGATACAAAAAAGCCGATTCGATGGAGTTAGTGTTCTGGGTTTTTTATTTGCATAGATACCTAAAAAGCAAGAGCCCAATTTTGCAGCAGATAAATAAACACTCACAGCATCGTTCAAAACTGATTCTCCAAAGACCAAAGCATACAGGTTGACGTCGGTACCCAGTTCCTGCCATCGGATTTTGTAAAAAATGTTCATCACAATGCAGGGCATCATTTTGGGGGGAAAAACACAATGTCTAGTATCGTCAAGTGGCATCATGAACTAACATATTGCACTTGGGGATCGAAGTGATAGTAATATGGAAAAGTAGAGGCAGTTGGAATATAGACAGTACGTAGCCTGATATAAGTGCACCAAACAAAAGACACTTGACAAATGGAAGCTTATACATTGAGCCGCCAAGAGAACTGCAAAAGGCAGGAAAACCAGATAAGGGTAGCGTAATTCAAACAAACAAATTAAAGAAGCTATAAGAATAAGCAAGAGGCTCATGATCCCTACATTAGACCACCAGTGACAACTGAAGCGACAAACAAACGTTCCGAAGATAGCAAAGGTAACAATGGCTACAAAGTAAGGCATTGTTTACACATTAGGTAGTAAGTAGGGAAAAACTACATGTAATTGGAAAGAAAGAAGGATAAGCACTTACAGGTTGAAGACTGAAACCTGATTGGGTTAAAACAAAGGAAAATGGCAAATAAATCTCCCACCATCCACACCACTATCTTTGGAAGGCAAGGAACTAACTATTGTTTGAGAATCGAATCGCCGAGCAAGAGATGGCAACAAAAGCAGTCGTCGAGGCTAGACTGTGGCAGGAAGCACAACTTTCTAGTCTCCTCGATCCCTTGATTCAATTCCGATTGCTCCTAAAAGCTAAGTCGCAATCGCAGAAAGAAGACACAATGACCACCAAGCTTTCTTGTATTCCGAACTAATCGAATCTCCTTTGGATTCAATCTCTTCTTAAATCGGGTTAAAAGTAGGGTGACGGGCCAGGCCCATTTACTGTGGATAGATAAAAGGAAACGGGCTCATATTTTAGAAAAAGGATGGCTGACTCAGTCCGCGTCAGAAAAAGGGGCCAACTGCTCCGCGGGCTGCCAAGAATCCTCCTCACACGTGGGTTTGCTCTTTCTCCCCAAGAA